CTGAGAGCCCAGAGGCAGCAGCCTCTCCTCTGGCCGATGAACGCAGAACCCCCAGCACCCCCCTGGATTTGGATGGTCCCGAGCGCAGCGGGGCTCTTCAGGCTGGGTAGTGCTGGGGGGGTGCCCCCTCCACTCCTGCTGAGAGCCCAGAGGCAGCAGCCTCTCCTCTGGCCGATGAACGCAGAACCCCCAGCACCCCCCTGGATTTGGATGGTCCCGAGCGCAGCGGGGCTCTTCAGGCTGGGTAGTGCTGGGGGGGTGCCCCCTCCACTCCTGCTCGGCAAGTCCCCTGCGAGCCTTTCCTGCCTCTGGCGGTGCCCCCAGCACCAGAGCAGCGCCCTGCGGTGCACCAGTATCCCTTCCTCAACGGGCAGGTAATGAACGCGCCTCGCCTCGCTCCCTTCCCGCCCGGGTATTTGACTCGCGAAGTGCTGCTAGAATAGCGCAGCCGACTGGATCCGCGCAAGTTGGTGCGTGTCCTTTGCAGGGTCAGTAAGCCACGCTGGCGGCGGGGGAGGGGGCGCCCAAAGGCAGGGGCAGAACTTTCGCCTTCGCCCGGCAGTCGCTGTCCAACACGCCGTGGTGCTGAAGTTACCCCGCAGCGCTGGGGTTCTTGAAGAGCCACGCAGTTTCGGCGCATTCGGTAGTAACTGCCCCGCCAGCTTCAGACTTCAAACGCTGGGGGCGAGACCGCGGAGTACACTGTGAATCAGAATTTATTTCTAATTCCGGTTGTGTCTCTTCGTACTACAGCAGAAAACGTGTGTGTCTCTACAGACCTGTGTGTCTGAAAACGTATAGAACCGCAGTCCCTGCAGTAAGACTCGCATGTGCTAAGAGTTAATATTCTGTTAAGTGGCTGGGCCAGGCAGTTTACAAGAGTTAGACTGTGAAGATCTGAGGACTGAGAGAGCAGAGATTGTGTTAAATAGATCTCCCGCAAAAAGGACCTTAATGCTGGGGCTGAGCAATGAAGTGAAGGCTGCCTTTGGTCCGTTCTGGTGTATTTGTTTCGGAAGAGGCATTTATTTTCTGTAGAAAATCATCTCGTTTTATATTTACTGTGAAAGTGCAGGCTAGGAATAGCGTGTATTGCTACATTTTAAAAAGTGAAAGATAAAGATATAAGGGTGTCTTTCCTTCAGCCAAGTGCCTCACAACTGCCTCTCCTTGCCTTAAAACAAAGTTCTCTGGTCATTTTTAACATTGGCCTACTGGAAGAGATAAGCCACCTGAACACTCCCGTTTTTATAGTATTTGTGAATGCCCCATAAGGCTTTTCAATATGCAGAATATGATTTTTAAAAAACACAACTGGATTCCATTGCAACATTTTTTATCTTGTTGTGTCATGATGCTGCCACTAGAGGTATTTAATGTCTAGAAATCAGATTCTCCCCCTCCACCCTTCCCTCCCTTAACATTTAGAAACCTGCAGGATTTAAAAGAAAAGTAAAAGAAGGGACTTGGATTGGCTTGTTAAGATTTGTCCTATTCATCCTTTAGCCCTCTGATCTTTTCCCATTTGCTGGGGAAAAAACAAACTGATAATGAAGTGGATTCTTTTCTAACAATATAAACCATTATAATCAGTGTTCCATATTTGTGTATGTATATATACATATGCACTAAGATGTTTTCAATCATACTAATTTAAACAACACATCTCAGTGATGCTTTTTGATGAATGTTCCATTTCTTTGTCAGTATTATAAGGCCACATAACATAACTGTTGCTGGTCAGTTTCAATATTCATCATACCTTTTTATGGATGCATTAGATATTAATAGCTATGTTAATTTGCTAGTAGTTTATTGCTTCTGTTGTATTTTTAATGCTGTTTCACATAAAACTTTTGAGTTCCATAATCTTTGATTCATTTCATTTAGAGATTCCCAGCCAAACATTTTAGCTATTATTGTCTATTGGAACTTAGTGCTTTGGAAAGAGTACAAGCAGAAGAAAAAGCTAGATGGTCTTGTATTTAATGCAAGAATAACATCAATTATTTTGAAGTGGGAAGAACTTAGATTTAAATGCTGAAATGTTTCTTCAATATCAATCTATTTGTTCAAAGAATTCAAGAGTAAAAAAAAATCACACAGTCTACCATGTCTTTGGTTTGCTTTTTCTCATTGCCTATCAAGACAGAAACAAACACACAATCTGGTATGATGATGTTTTCTATTTATATGTGATCTTTTTTAAAAGTTCATTGCAGTAATAGTACTAACTTGGTATTCTAACTCTGATTCTTCTGTTTGTAGATTTCTAGAGCAGTTAATTTTGCAAAGCACACAATAAATGTGGGATTGATACAATAAATGCTTTCTTTAAATAAGCAATGTTTATTCTAAAGAGGTTGATAAATTACGTTTGCTTGAAATTCACTTTCTTAATATGTTCAAACATTGGTTGATTTTTTTGTAGAATATTTTTCATTCATTTAATTTTAATTTCTTTTCTTTTTTTTAAGTGGATGTTTGGAGCTCATTCTCCAGTTATAGGATTTTCACCTTCTTCTAGTGTGGAATTTGTTCCTATTTTCCCACATGTATACACATCTACTGTTCCACCTCATGCGAGGAAAAGTTGGAGAGATAAGAGACTATCTAATTGCAAGGTAACGCTGAACTTTACTTGGGTCATTTTATATTAAGATCTTATCATAACAATTGGAAAGCACTGAATTTTGCAAACCTCAATGGCATGCAGAAGGTCACGAATTTATGTCAAGAAAAACTCCTGTAGAAGAATGAATGCTATAAATAGGTGATCAATAAATAGGCTATTTCTGAAGGTATAAATCAGCAGTTCTCTTAAATAGTGAAAAGGACTAAAATAGCTTTAACATTAGTTCTGTATTGTTGGGTAAAACGTGTTTATACCACAAACTATGTGGCTTTAATGTGTGTTCCATGTTTTGTATACTTGCAACACCTGGCTATTGACTGCATGTTTTCTATGTATATTCGTTAGAAATTGACTCAGTAGCTTGAATCCTGACAAAGTCCAGGGGGGTTTTGCCATCAATTTCGGTGAGGCCAAGATTTCATGCTGTATTTACAACCTCTGGCCTTTATTCTAAAACCAGCTAGTCATGTGTGTAAATTTAGGCATATGAATAACTTATAGGGTAGTCTTGGTTTTTTTTTCCACCTCTTCCATCCCTCGGGCCTCAATGAAAAAAAAATTAAGATACCGAATGTTGTAGATACATTTGTTTTACCATAAATTCATTGGGGCTAGGTTTGGCCTTCTTTTTCATATGTTAAAGTTTGGTGTTTTGCTTGGTAATACTTCCTAAATTGGATAGTCCCCTTATGAGATTGTTAGATAACCACAGCCTCTCAATAGTTAGGAAGCATAAATCAATCTAGTCTTAAAGACTGTTCATGATTTAAGATAAGTTCCATGCCACAAAGGTGTATAAATAGCTATGAGAGCCTGAATTAAAGACATAAAAACTATGAAAATAACAAGCAGTGCAATTATATTATCTTTAACTTCAGCATCCTTTTGTTTATCTTTGGCAGATATATTTAAATAATGCATTTACTCTGGATTCAGCATGGATACATCCTGAGGAATCAAGAATCTTCCAGGGACATGAGAAGCCTCTTTTCATGACAAATCAAGTAGCTATGGCTATATCTAGGCCAGCTACTGCCTCAAGGCCTCTTCCCACAGTGGTGTTAACACCTCAGCCTATACCAGGTTAGTAATAAATAATTATGAACAATTTTTCACACTCTCCATTTTCGTCCTATTGATCTTATTTTTACTTTAGGTAGTGGTTTCTGCATTCTTTTCTCCAGCTAAATTCCCATTTGGGTTGTTACCTCTATAACAAGGTCCAGAACAAGAACATTTCACCTTCATTTAAATTTTAAAAAATTGTATAAAGAAAAAGTATAAACTTATTGAAAATTAGAAACTAGATTTCTCAGCAATCAGCAAACCCTCTCCATTGACCTGGGTTGTAGCCAGCCCAGTGATGATTTGGTTTATCTTCAAACACACTAATGATATGCTGACACAATATTTAACGTGTAATTTTAACATCAATTGCTTATTTTAAAAATTTTATATAATCCCTGAATGCACAGTTATTAATAGGAAACACTAATTGATCATCGGTTAATTAAATACATTTATGCAAGATGACATGCATGAAATAAATTCCATTAATCTACATAAATAAGGTAAGTTAAAGCTGCCAATGGTAGTATATTGTTCATGCTACTGCTATGTTTTAACCTGGAAAAAGCCAGAAAATATATTGCTGCAAAGATGGATGTGAGCCTTCAGTAGTATTTTGTTGCATTGATCTAACTTAGTAGTTGCCCTCGAAAACAAAACAAATAATTAGAATGAAGATAATTGAAGACAAATGTAGAGAAAACCAAGGTACAAATGTCTGTCTTACTGAGATAATTTTAAATAATGGCAAAATCATACCCATCCCAGTTTTCATTATTATGGAATTGTTTTTATTCTGAAACTGTAATACAGATATGTTATTTTGTACCTTCTTGTATTACTTCAAATTTCTGCAACATGTAATAAGGCAACATTCGTTTGGATAATTAAGGAATTCATTATGAGGGAGGAAATCCATTTTCTGTCTGTTTGCCAGACTTATTTATGTTAATTATCAATTAATCTTGTTCAGCATTTAGGAAGTAAGTGGAACAATTCAAATAATTTCTGCATTTCAGTGGTTTTAATAATACTTTAAACTGCCTTCTGTTCTTGGCACTAGTATTGATCAGCTCTAGTGCTGTTCAACTTTCCATAATGGAACATAAATAAATATACTGGTGGGTAAATAATTATATTGCTTATGAATCTCTATCTGGATGATTATACTTAATTTGTGTCTGCAAAATGTATACATTGTTTGAAGTTTATATCTCTGGCCAGATGCTATGTTGACAGATGTTTTTATAAATGCCTGATGGAATGTATTTGGATATTTGATCTTACATGTATTGGTGGTGTAGGAACTGGTAGGATCGATATTTTTTTCCTCTGACTTCTGTCTATATGTACCTTCCAGTAGAAATAAACAAAGAGGGCCTAGTACTATAATGCTAATTTAGATAAAAATCACATTGAACTCATATTAATGTTATTAAATGTTAACTGCTGAAGTTAATCTGCTCCGGCTCCCATTGACATCTATAATTGGGATTTTGAGAAGAACTGAAGTGAATTAGGTGCCTAATTCCTATTGACTTTCTATGAGAGTTGGTTCTTAACATATTTAGGAGTTTTTGAAATTCCAACCCATTAAGAAATACTATTGCCTCCCTACACCCTCTGAATCTCTTTCAAATTTATTGCTATGCATGAGAACTGAAAATGCCATGTTTGCATTTCTTGGCATTTTTCTTCATCATTCTTATATCAGAGGTGCATTGGGGCCATCTGCCTCTATGGCAATGGATTCCTATTGTCCTGGACCATCAACCAGAGGCCTGCACCATCTACACTAATTTCTATCAGAGGGGTAGCCATGCTAGTCTGAATCTGCAAGAACAACAAGAAGTCCTGTGGCACCTTATAGACTAACAAATTTATTGGAGCATAAGCTTTCGTGGGCAAAGACCCACTTCATCAGATGCATGTCAGATGGCATGCATCTGATGAAGTGGGTCACTAATTTCTATGAGGAGTTTTACCTGAATAAGAACTACAGGATCGAATCTATTGTTAGCAGTCATATTAGGGATGTTAGAGGTTACCAAGGTTCCCAGTAAGCAGTAGGCATATCAGCCTGCTTACAAGGTAACTGGTTAACCAGTCTGGACATCTGGACCCTGCCAGAGGCCACAGCAAACACAGCTGGAGCAGCTCTCCTCCTGTCTGGACTGGACTACTGCATCTTTGCTCCCTCTCAAAATACTGCTGTCAGAACCATCTGTCTGGCTCGTTGCACTGCCCCACCTTATGCCATCAGTGACTTTAGTGGCTCCCTCTTCATTTCTTATATAATGTAACCTTTTGGAGTTAAAACCTGACCCCTTTGAACTGACTGGGATTTTTTTATATTGCTCTCAGTGGGGTCTGGATTTCACTTTTTTATCTTTATCTTTAAGTCCCTTAACACTTATAGCTTCATTCAGTGATAATTCCTAACATTGTTTGCTTTTTTTGACTGCTACTGCACATTGAGTGGATGTTTTCAGAGAACTATCCACAATAACTCCAAGATGTCTCTCTTGAGTAGTTATAGCTAAATTAGTCCCCATGGGTATGTCTACACTTGCAGCCTATTTTGGAATAGGGCTGCAAATGTAGGCATTCGGAATTGCAAATCAAGCCCAGGATTTAAATATCCCACGCTTGATTTGCATCTTCCCGGCTGGGCGCCATTTTTGAAATTTACAAAAATCTGGACTGGGACCAGTGCTGTTCAATATATTCATAAAACTATCTGAAATAATGAACTGGCAATGTTTGCAGTTCATACAAAAGTATTCAAGATAGATAAGCCCAAAGATGACTTTGAAGAGTTACTAAAGGATCACACTATTTTGTGTGACTGTGCAACAAAATGGCAGTTGAAATTGAATGTTGATAAATGCCTAGCAATGTACATTGAAAAATGTAATACCAGCTATACATGCAAAATGATGAGGGTTAAATTAGCTGTTATCACTCAAGAAAGAGATCTTGGAATAATCATGAATAGTTCTCTGAAAACATCTCATCAATGGGCAGTGACACTCAAAAAAGCCAACAAGATATTAAGATCTACTGTAAAAGGAATAAGTAACATATTGAATATCATAATGCCACTATATAGATCCATAGTACCCCAACATCTTTAATACTGCATACAGTTCTTGTTGGCCCATCGCAAAACATATATATAAAATTGGAAAATGATTGAGGGTGTGGAACAGTTTATATATGTGGAGAGATTAAAAAATCTGGAACTGGTCATTTTATAAAAGAGACAATTAAAGGTGAATATAAGAGAGTTTTGTAAAATCATGAATGATGTAGAGAAAGTGAATAAGGGAGTGCTATTTACCTTTATTCAACCTCCCTCCCCCACCAATAAGTTCTTAGTTAAGTCTATCAATGGCTATTAGCTAAAATGGTCAAGTAGCATCCCATAATCTGCATATCCCTAAGCTTCTAGCTGCCAAAAAGCTAAAACTGTATGATGGGTTGTATTATTCAGTAACTATCCTATTCTGTTCATTCCCTCTCAAGTATCTGGCACTGGCTACTATGTGAAAACAGGCTACTGGGTTAGAGGGGCCCCATATGAATTCTTTTGTGTTCTTATAATCCATTCAGTTCCTGCCTGATCTTCAAATTGCTTTCTTAAAACTTGTCTCTGTTGAGATGCCTACAAAACCCTGTCAATTAACTATGGCTGTTAGATAACTGATTGTTCCCTTTTCCTTTCTTTTCTTACTGCCTCATTCTTATTAATTTACCCATTCCTTCCTTCCCTTTTTTCCTATCTTCAATTAAAAAAAATAGGAAAACAACAAAGTTGCCAATTCTTCACTATATTCATTTGCCTGTATGTCTTCGTCATCCTCAACCCTTCATCTGTTTTGTGTCTTAAAAGCCCTCTAGGATAGAAGTTTTCATTTAGATGTAATTTGTACATCATCCATCACAGTGGGCTCCAATCTTATTTAAGGTGCAAAAATGTTACCATAATAGAAACGATAGATGTTGGTCACTGTGGAAATCAATAGCATTCGGCTAAAGCCACAAATGTTTCCTAATCTTTCCTGGACTGAACTGCTGGAGTATGCACACAGTAAAGAAGTTGAAGGGGATGGGGAGCAGACTGCAAATGGATGTTATAGGCTCTTAAAATCTGCTGCAAAGGGACACTTAATAGCCATCATTTGGTTAACTACTAAATTTTGTCCCCAGAAAATCTGTTCTCTATAACCTCTCTAGTTGTGATGCACAGCAGAGACTTTTATATACTAGAAGAGCTGTGATGTAGGGACAGCAAATAGTATTTGCCAAGAAGAAATGGGTGTTTTTCGCTATCCTTTTTGCCCTCTCCAGTTGCAGCAAATAGTAAATCTTGAATGGCCAAATGAAAATGATATAGTAAGTAGGTCTAGTGGTCCTTACTCCAGGGCTACATCTACACTGGCAGCTTCTTGCGCAAGAACTCTTTTGCATAAGAATTCTTGCTCAAAAAGTCTTCCACAAGAGCGCATCTACACTGGCATGTGTTTTGCACAAGAGATGTGCTTTTGCGCAAGAGTGTCCATGGCAGTGTGGACGCTCTCTTGCGCAAGAAAGCTCTGATAGCCATTTTAGCCATAGGGGTTTCTTGCGCAAGAAATTCATGTTGCCCGTTTACACTGCCCTCTTGTGCAAGAGGGCTTATTCCTCGTGGGGAAAGGAATAACTCTTCCAGAAGAAGCTGTGTTTTCCGACGCTGTACTGTAAATTTACTTGAGCAAGAATGTGCGTGCAGTGTAGACACTTGGCAAGTTTTTGCTCAAGAACAATTGTTCTTGAGCAAGAAGCTGCCAGTGTAGACGTAGCCTCAGGGGTTTTCAAACTCTGGGTCAGTGCTTGTAAAGGCATGCTGCTAGCTGGCCATGAGATGCTTTGCCCCTGCAGGTATGGGCAATGACAACTCCCATTGATCACAGACAGCTGCTCCTAGCCAATAGGAGTTACAGAAAGGGAGTGCTCTGCCTCTTAGATGGGTA